CGTTTCTCGACAGGTCGTAGTGGCGAATGAACCATAGTTGTAAGGGACGCATTTTGAGTCTCGCAAAGACGAGGATGGACGAAGTTGCCGCCATTAGACCGAGCAGCCGCTGAATTTTGAAGGCGGTGACGGAAGGGTGGGTTTGGACGACGGTGGCCAGGGAAATGATATCTGATGCCGTCATTGGGCAGGTAAGCCATGCATGTCTGTGAATCCAGGATTGCACCGATATACTGTATGCGCTGGACTGGAGACAAGTGAGACTTTTGTCTGTTGACTTGAAGGCCCAGATTCTCCAATAGTGTCAGAGTCTCTGCGACATTTGAGATTAGGGCGGTTTTGGAAGGCGCCACCAGAAGTCAATCGTCTATGTAGGGGTAGATCGCGACAACCTGTAGACGGAGGAAAGCCGCAACCACAATCATGGTCTTCGTAAAGACTCTTGGGGCACTGGAAAGGCCGAATGGAAGGGCCGTATACTGGAAGTGCCGGTGACCAATAGCAAAGCATAGGTATTGGCAGTGGAAGGGGTGGATAGTGATGTGGAAATATGCGTCTTGGAGGTCGAGGGTTGCCATCCAGACATGTCTGCGAAGCAATGACATGATCTGTTGAAGCGAGACCATGCGGAAGCGGTGGTAAATCACGAAACAATTCAGCTCCCTGAGATCTAATATGGGTCGAACGCCTCCGTCTCTCTTCGGGACTGTGAAGTATCGGGGATAAAATCCCGTCCCGTGGAGATGTGGTGGTACATGTTCTATGGCTCCCTTCTGTAGAAAGATGGACACCTCCTCGAGGAGTGGTGGGGAAGGGGGCGTGGAGACGACGACTGAAGTATTGGGGTTCTGGATAAACTCGATTTTGTAACCTCGGGTCAAGATGGCAAGCACCCACTTGTCCGAGGTGATGTGATGCCAAGTGAGAAGAAAGGGTGACAGACGGGTAATTACTGACTCAGTGACAGGGAAGTCAAAAACCCTGTTTGGAGGGTTTTGATTGTTTAGCGCGAGAAGCTTGTTGGCCTGAACCGAATTTTGGCTTCTGGAAGGCAGGTTTCTGGCCTCCGGAAGATGTTCTTGGCCTCCAACGTGTGTCAGGGGACTGATGCGTAGGGGTGCTCCTCTGCCAAGACTGCGACCAGGTGCGGGGACGATACTGTTGTTTTCCAGAGGATGAGACCCCTAGAGCCTGGGATGCCTTTATACTCTTATCGAGCTTTTGTAGAACAGAGTTGGTGGTGGCACTGAACAATCCCAGGCCATTAAAAAGTAGGTCTTCCACGTAAGATCTAGTGTCTATTGGCAGGCTAGTGTTACGGAGCCAGGAATGTCTTCTGAGTGCTATTGCAGAAGCCATTTGTCGCGAAGACGCCTCGAGGACATGTTTGGTTGTGTTGAGCTGTTGTTTTGCCAATAACATGTCCTCTTTCTGTATGACTCTGGCAGCTTGCGGTTTGTCATCTGGTAGGTGACTGAGGAGTTCTGAGAACCGTTCCCAAAGAGTGTATTGGTAGCGGTTCATACAGGCCAGGTAGTTGGTGGCTTTGACTGCCAACGCTCCCGTGGAGTAAAATCGTCTGCCAAAGGCATCTGATTTCTTTCCTTCCTTGTCAGAAGGTGTGGAATGCATCTTCCGGGATTTGGAGGATGATGTAATGATCACTGAGTTTGGTTAAGGATGAGAAAAGAGAAATTCAGCATCCGTCTCTTGTACCCTGTACATGTGGTCCAGTTTTCGTGTGGACACAGGGGCCGATGAAGGTTTCGACCACGGTGACTTTGCTGCTTGAAGAAGAACCAAAGACATAGGCAATGCGAGGGTGGAAGAGATGTCAAGCTGAACGATATTGTAGACTGAGTCTGTTGCTTGATGCTGTTGCTGGACGACAGAGAGACCTAAGGAATGGGCCATCCGTTTAACCAGATCCGTATAAGATGTAAGGTTATCTGAAGGGGATATAGGTAAATCCTCAGCAACATCCTGGTTAGGAGACTTATGGTCAGGAGAAGTGTGAACTTCAGAAGCCTCCGTATCTGAGTCCTCTTCCACGAAGTCAGAAGAGTCTTGTTTGTGTATCTGGACCGATGTGTCCTGTGGGCAAGTAACTGGTTTAGGTTGGACGACAGGGACGACAGGGTTTGGATTGACAGAAGGGTCGAGTAGACGACTTGGTTCCAAAGTATGGTGGGACTGGTCGATTACAGAAGGACGTGACAGAGATGCTGAAGGTTTTGATCTATGAGGAGATTTCGACCGATGTACAGATTGGGTGGAATAGCGGTCCCAATCAGAATAATCCGCGGGCGTTAACCATGGCAGGAATGGTGGATAAGCCCCATAGAGGTACCTCAACTGTCATTGATCCCACACCATCGGTGGCGGGGGGGGGCATGAAGACTCTCGGGGAGCGACTTCTGGACCGTGGACGTCTGGGTGATAAAGCAGCCGCTTGTCTGTGGCCAGTGTCCCTGTAATCTCGAGTGTCGATATCAACAGTTTGAGTGCAGAGACAAGGAGGGGGACGGTGCATGGCAGATGAGGTATATCAGTGCCAAGGTAACTCGACGTTGGGAGCTTCCAAAACCGTCAATGTCGACGATGGAGAAGGAGACGAAGAATGCTCTGCATCTATCTGATGACTTAGGAGCTCTACCATTTCGATGTCGCAGTAAGGACGCTCCGTTTGTTGGACGGGGGAATCCAATACGTGGATGGTCGGTGGAGGAACTTGGGCCTCTGATATCGATACTGCCGGTGGAGCGGGGAGCACTACAGGGCATCACCCAGTGCTTGTACCACCACCTTCCCCATCTTAGCCGCCTTGAGGGACTTGGAAGTGCCCTTCTTCGCGGACTTGGCTTCCTTACTTGCCTTAGCCTTCTTCTTAACAGACATGGAAGCGGTCGATCGTGCCTTCGATGTCGGGAGCTTCGGTGTTGGGCGGTCGACATCGGAGGCGGGCCTTGTCCATTGGTGTGGCAGAAGAGCCGATTCAAGCAGCGCTACTTTAAGGCGCATCGCACGTTTTTTTTTCTTGTTTGGTTAGAGAAGCGAGCACAATGTCGGCAGGACTCCGGTTTATGCGACTCTCTGAGGCAAAAAATACAAAGTGTATGCTGGTCCGGAGGAGCAAGTTTGTTTCCGCAGCATTTACACCTTTTTAAAAATCCCCACTTCTTCTCCATAAGAAGTGGAGTAGAGAT